CTCAATGTTCCGCTAACAGTCACTACAGACTGTGCGTAGTTCCATTAGCGACCCCACAGAAAATTGCGAAAACATCTGCAGACGCAATCAATATGTTTTTTACGGAATGAGTTTGTTAAGTCGACTGCAGACATCGAGCAAAATCGACCAATTAACGACCGCGGATACGTATTACGGCACATCGCTCGAACGGGCAAGCATTCACTTTAAAGCACCAATCCTTCCTTCGATGCCGACATATTTGAGAATGGCATCACCAAATAGTGGTAGAAATTTTTACCTCTACGATTTTCAATCGTTATTGATATAAATGGAGTAGAATATTTTGCACACTGTATGCTGCATACATAATATCACAAAATAAGCATAATAAAATTAGTAAAGGCACGGGAGAGTACAATGCAATCCAGCAGCTTTCAGCATGATTCGGCATTTTTTGTGAAGATATATTAAACTTGTCCAATATGTGACACTCCTACACAGAATCGACCGGTATATTTCAACCAGTATAAGGAAGACGTCAGTTTCTTCGCGCTATGGCACCCGTCGTTGCAATTCTTCGTTAGTGAATTATTAATCCGTTTTTTGCCCACAATACGGGTAACCGTGCAGGTTGCCGATAGAGAAGAGAATCGATATGTCTTAAATATAAAGTCTTGCTTTTTTGGCTACCGTCCATAAATTGTGATAAGCGTACGTGCATTTAAATAATTCTTTGCGGTGATATGAGGCGGAGTTGAAAACCGTTTACCATTTTTGATGGCAAGTATTACAATTTGCTAAACCAGGGATCATCAACAAACCTGTTTCTGACAGCGGTGTAAGGCTTCGATCGTAAAGAAAGTGTATCCGTGTCTGCTCATTTAATCAGTGTGAAGTCAGATGCATAAACCTTATCCAATTAATGGTTACATTTAAGTTTTGACCAATGTGTAGTAACCCAAGCAATTCGTAAAAGCTAAGTGCCACATCGTTAAAAGCCTCAATTAGCAATTTCTCTGCATTAAAAATAAATTTTCGTGCTTTTCGTCGGTAATGGTTTAGGGTAGTGTTTCCCGAACATCGTGACCTGAAACGCATACTTTTCATGACCTGGCGACTCAATGGGTCGGTGAGTGTAGTTTTACTGCCGATTATTTTGATAAAGTACTTTTTGTGTAATAGGTTAGTTTTACTGAATTAATTTAAACAGTTAAAACGGGATGAATTTTAATGACTTTTTTATTAGACGGAATGCAAAGTAGAACTTGCCAGAGATTTATTTTTATCGAATCCTTCCCGCGAAATTCATTTGGCTCGCGACCTAGGATTTGGAAACCATTGACTCAAAGTACTGTGTCAATATATTGCATTGTATCTTCTCTGAAGTTGCATTTTCAAGGGAACCATTAAGCTTTACAGTATATCGTTAAATAATGAAACGTAGAACAGTGTTTTCAAAACTGAAAAGACAAAAATCAAGAACAGGGCAATAAAATCTTTTCATTTTCTCATCATACAAGCTGCATTGCACTCGTAGAGATTCCTCCGTTGGTTTGACAAATTTTTCGTATTCAGTTATGTTTTTAAAAACAAATGAGAAATCTTTTCAAGGTATTGTTTGTCTCAACTGCTTCAAGCACTATAATAAGTGGATGATTATTCATTGCTTGAATGGAACCACCGAAGAATTCCATTTTTCAGTGAGAAATAACTTGTCGTACCTTTCCATGCCTGAATCTTTTCAGCATGCGTTCTGACGTTGTTTAGAAAGATTAAACGCCATGGGATTCGAATAAAGGAATTGCGCAAGCGGTTTGTGGTAGGTTAGCTTTCTATCTCTACCTCATATTTGCGCAGAAAATTCAGCTGGACAGGATGACAGACTTTGACAAACAGATATCGATGCGATGTGGCCATTTGAGATTTGATGGAAAAGAAGATTATTTTTGCAAGAATGAGGATCAATGTCTACCTGTGAAGCAGTAGGGAAGGTGACGAAGTTGTGGCTAAGTTAGCATACCACCGATTTACCTCCGTAGGTAAAGCCCGGCGAACTTTCGACCGATTTCTCAGCAGCGGGCTGAAAAGCATGACAATCAGGTCACTCAGTGCGTAAAGGACACGGCATAGCTGATTACTTTTGTTAGAAAATAGCGAAAATGTTTAATTGTGCAATTAGGCGTTAAGCTGTTTCGCAGTCATTCCCTCTAATGACTGCTGCCGAAACCATTTTATCATCCCTTCTAACGCGACTCCGATTCTTCAAACCATTCGATGCAGAAACTAGGTCAGTTGATGAGCCGTTCTAGGCGACGGCCGACAATGTGTGGAATGACGCCATTTGGTCAGGAGCCAACCGCACAGCATCTGTGAAATTGGGCCAAAGTAGATGAGGCTGTGAAAGAATAGTAATCTGCTGGGCAAACCAACTGTTGTCGACATTCTCTGATGGCACAACAGAAAACGAATACGAAATACAAAGAGAGCTTGCGCCGGAACGCAGTTCAAAGTAATAATTACGGTTCAATGGATGAAACAACCAGCCAGACTAATGTTATAGTATAGTCCCGATGAAATGGCTACCAAGAATGGCAACATTTCGATTCCGCCGTCGGTAGATGACATCTGTCAACTGCTGATACCGAATTTATGCTTCGAAATCTGTAAAATAAAGCCTTGTACTTTACCGAACTATTGCGACAGTGTAAGACGGATGGCAGTCTTTGTACCGAAGCATACACCGCCCCTTGCTTTTAATATCCAGAGTTTTTGCCGTATAACTGCAGCATGAGTAATTGAATGACCGTCTATTTGCTGCGGAATCGAAATGCTGCCAAGTTTGGTATCTATCCCAGGCCATCGGGGTATTATATATTTGCCAACGATAGTGGCAAATTGGTGGTGCTGAAACAAATGCGGTTCTGCTCAACAAGTGACGCGGCGTATATGCCCTATGCACTGCTGGCTCGTAAATACCGTGGAGCCGTGACTTGCTTGAATGATCTCCCTAGATGATTAGAAGCAAAGGCGGTGTAATGTTGCCTTGTATCCGACTGCTGTCCATCTTAAACTAAAGTAGTATTTCTGTAAATTAAGCGACTTTAATTTACTGTTTTCGCCTTGTAAATCCGGTATCTGTATTTTGAAAGATATATGGATATATGGATCAAAGGAATAATTTTAATATGTTTATAGCTTCAAAAGCTTTGCGTGCAGCATCATTAACTCTATATTAGTTTTGATAAAAAATATTTGCTACTTTTTACTGTCGCTCAAAACTTCATTTGGCTTGATTCTGTTTAATACCAAGCCAAAATTTTCGATACATGTGAAATGTAATTCACGTTTCCTGTTCGAAAGTTGACGAAAAGTGCGCCGTCCTCAGTCATCGTCGAGATGCAATCAGCTGTTTGCTGAACATTCCTTGAATTACTGTTCTGCTGCTTTGTCCATAAGCTATCATGCTGATACATTTTTCTGCCTAACGACATAGACAGCACTCAGGGTTTTCTGTTTTTCTCCTTGCAATTAGGATTTAAACCACTAACTTTTAAACTTCGTCAAGTTTTACTTGCAGTCTGTTGTTAACAAACCTTTTAAAGCTATGTGTTACCTTTACTTATCTGCCAATATGTTATTTACACATGATATTTAAGTTATGCTTAAATGCTTTCCTTTTTTAAGTTTATCTATTTAAATATCGGATAAAGAACACCGCTTGTTTCAAGCTCTGGTAATTCATTGTTAAGGCATGAACATTACATATAATGTTTAAAGCAATCATCGGAGCTTAATTTAGTTATCCGCTGTCTCCTTACTTTGTCAGTAAGTCGAGAGGCATTACAAGTATGGATTCGGGAAATAATTATAGTGACTGCTAAAACAGACTCGATAATGAAGCTTAAGAAAGCTCGGATCATGTTCATAACGTGTGTCAGTTCGACAAAAGTCAGGACCGATTGCATGGAAATTCATGAAGCCAAGAGACATCTATCTGGTTCGGTTTCTTCCAGTAAAATATGAAAAAAATGTAAAATAGAAGGATAAGCAAAATACGACCTCTGATCAGTTCTGCACATGATCTTGAATAGATGAATACATTTGCTTGTCAAGCATGGTTTCCTAGCATTACAGACTAAGAGTGTTCCTTAACTGTGTCTTGAACAAGGAAGTCATACGGAAACTACTTGTCTTACGACAGAGCATGAAGCGGTGTGCCATAGCAATAATATGGACAGAGGGTGGCACGAAGAAGGAAGCGTGAGTAAAAAGTAAGTTGGAATTGCTAATTTGATTCATTGAGTAACTCGTTGGTGGTCATGCTGAGAAAAACATAAACCATTGTGATTTACAGACAATGCAAATATATTCAGTTGAATTACTGGCCAATTCCGACGTTTTGGCCCCTGCCTCATGGGCTTTTTCAAGATAGAGAAGGTTAATGTTGGAAATTCTGTCTGTGGTTCGTAGAGTTTATAGCGTTTAGAGCCAGAGAGTCCTCTAAACCTCGTTTTATGCTGTTTTCGGTTTGACTCATACAGTAAAGAAACATAGGCAATAAATGAGCTAGACGTTCTGTACCAAGAGAATGACCAGCATTAGAAATGTTTACAAAAGTGCCCAAGAAATCGAAAAGGTAAAGTATCAAAATGTAATTTTTGAAATGTCGCAAAATGAAAATTTTTTTATTATAGTACTTCTTGCAGAGTTTACTTAGCATAGACATGTTATATACAGTTTAACCAATGTTGCGGATCATTCATCA